AGAGACCTTCTGGACGGCCCCAAGACGGGCCGAGAAGGCTCCGAAGAGGCGCCTAGGACAGCCCCAGACCACCCCAGAACAGGCCCAAGATGGGCCCAAGAGCGGGAGCAGGAGGCTTCCAGTGACCTCCGATTGGCTTCCGGGACCACCCAAGAGGCCCCCCAAGAAACTCCGACGAGGCTCCAAGAACAGCCCAAGAGAGTTGCGAGAGCCGTCCCGACAGAACCCGAAGGGGGTAACATCGTTGTTTTCGAATGGTTGTTGTTATGGTGTTTTTCGCCTTCTCACGTTTTCCCGCTTCCAACCTTCAAAGATCGAGGATCTTGGAAAGAAAGCGTCCCGGCAAGGCAACCTAACAGCGATGTGTAGGAGCCTATTTGGAAGCATTCCCCTTAAGATTCAGATGAGAATCCAGTTGTAGAATTCTGCTGTTCTCGCAGTCGTAGTCGCATTCGCGATGACAATCGCAGCGGCAACGGCAGTCGCAGTCACAGCCTCGGCCTCGGCCTGCCTCAGCCTCAGCCTCAGCCTGCCGCAGCCTCAGCCTGCCTCAGCCTCAGCCTCAGCCTGCTTCAGCCTCAGCCTCAGTCTGCCTTCAGCCTCGGCCTCAGCCTCTGCCTGCCTCAGCCTCAGCCTGCATCAGCCTCAGCCTCACCCTCAGCCTCAGCCTGCTTCAGCATCAGCCTGCCTCAGCCTCAGCCTCAACCTGCCTCAGCCTCAGCCTCAGGCTTCTTCAGCGTCAGCCTCAGTCCGCCATCCGCCTCGGCCTCAGCCTCAGTCTGCCTCAGCCTCAGCCTCATCAGCCTCAGCCTCAGCCTCAGCCTCAGCCTTCAGCCTCGGCCTCAGCCTCAGCCTGCCTCAGCCTCAGCCTCAGCCTCAGCCTCAGCCTCAGCCTGCCTCAGCCTCAGCCTCAGCCTCAGCCTCAGCCTCAGCAGCCTCAGCTCGCCTCGGCCTCAGCCTCAGCCTGCCTCAGCCTCAGCCTCAGCCTGCCTCAGCCTCAGCCTCAGCCTGCCTCAGCCTCAGCCTCAGCCTGCTTCAGCCTCAGCCTCAGTCTGCATTCAGCCTCGGCCTCAGCCTCAGCCTGCCTCAGCCTCAGCCTGCATCAGCCTCAGCCTCAGCCTCAGCCTGCCTCAGCATCAGCCTGCCTCAGCCTCAGCCTCAGCCTCAGCCTCAGCCTCAGCCTCAGCCTGCTTCAGCCTCAGCCTCAGTCTGCCTTCAGCCTCGGCCTCAGCCTCAGCCTGCCTCAGCCTCAGCCTGCATTAGCCTCAGCCTCAGCCTCAGCCTGCCTCAGCATCAGCCTGCCTCAGCCTCAGCCTCAGCCTGCCTCAGCCTCAGCCTCAGCCTGCTTCAGCCTCAGCCTCAGTCTGCCTTCAGCCTCGGCCTCAGCCTCAGGCTGCCTCAGCCTCAGCCTGCATCAGCCTCAGCCTCAGCCTCAGCCTGCCTCAGCATCAGCCTGCCTCAGCCTCAGCCTCAGCCTGCAGCCTCAGCCTCAGCCTGCTTCAGCCTCAGCCTCAATCTGCCTTCAGCCTCGGCCTCAGCCTCAGCCTGCCTCAGCCTCAGCCTGCATCAGCCTCAGCCTGCATCAGCCTCAGCCTCAGCCTCAGCCTGCTTCAGCCTCAGCCTGCTTCAGCCTCAGCCTCAGCTTGCCTCAGCCGCAGCCTGCTTCAGCCTCAGCCTCAGTCTGCCTTCAGCCTCGGCCTCAGCCTCAGCCTGCCTCAGCCTTAGCCTGCATCAGCCTCAGCCTCAGCCTCAGCTTGCCTCAGCCTGAGCCTGTCTCAGCTTCAGCCTCAGCCTGCTTCAGCCTCAGCTTGCCTCAGCCTGCTCCAGCCTCAGCCTCAGTCTGGCTTCAGCCTCAGCCTCAGCCTCAGCCTGCCTCAGCGCCTCAGCCTGCATCAGCCTCAGCCTCAGCCTCAGCCTGCCTCAGCATCAGCCTGCCTCAGCCTCGGCCTCAGCCTGCCCCAGCCTCAGCCCCAGCCTGCTTCAGCCTCAGCCTCAGTCTGCCTTCAGCCTCGGCCTCAGCCTCAGCCTGCCTCAGCCTCAGCCTGCCTCAGCCTCAGCATCAGCCTGCCTCAGCATTCAACATGTGGCCCGGGAGTGGAGTTCTGGAAACTCGAAGAACACGAAGTGGCCTACAGTTGGCTCCGGGCATTCAAAATCATGCCCAGGAATGGAGTTCTGGGAAGTCGAAGACCACGAAGTGGCCTACAGATGGCTCAAGGCATTCAAAATCATGCCCAGGAATGGAGTTCTGGGAACTCGAAGACCACGAAGTGGCCTACAGGTGGCTCCGGGCATTCAAAACCATGCCCAGGAATGGAGTTCTGGGAACTCGAAGAACACGAAGTGGCCTACAGGTGGCTCCGGGCATTCAAAATCATGCCCAGGAATGGAGTTCTGGGGACTCGAAGACCACGAAGTGCGTTACTGCTTGCTAAAAAAGGAGTCCCCGGTTTTTCCCGGCACCCGTCCGGCATCTGCCCAGACCCCTCTTGGGAGTCAT